ATCCATATTTTTATTTTGTTTAATAATAATGAATGTCATTCAACGGAGGAGCTCTTCTATGTTCTCTCTTTCTCTCCCTCATTTTCTCTCTCTTTCGCTCTCTTCTCGCTTTCTCGCTCTCCCTCTCTCGCGCTCTCGTTCATTCTTTCCCTCATTCTCTCTCTCTCTCTCTCTCTCTCTCTCTCTCGCTTTCTTCTTTTTTTCATTTTTCACACATACACGTTCTTTCGCACGCACTCTGTCTCGATGTTCTCTCTGTTTGCTCGCGCATATTCACGCATTTGCGCATGCGCGCACAAGCACGGAGCACGCATTTGAATGGACGATCCTTCGCGCGTAATGTTTTTTTTCGACAGCTAGCTCGTTAAAATTGGTATTTTTTTTTTTTTTTGGTTTTCTTAGCACATTTCGTCTACCTAGCTTGTTGACCCATGGCAGTTGCTTGTTCATTATACTGGCCGACAGGCTCCGTAGCTTGACACTTTACTCGATTATTTTCTGTATTTTTTTAAATCTTCTTTTATTTAACCCAACTCTAGAATTTTTGTTTCGCATCTTCTTTATATAGCTTTTGTGTATTCATCGTTTTATTATCTGACGACGTTTAGGTTAATAAGTTTCGAGAGTTTCGAGACACTACAAAGCCCTTTTTTATTTTTGTTCGCTATCCGTTTAAGAAAATTTCGTGCATTTACGATTAGTTAACTTAGTTTCATTTCTTCTTTATACAATGCGTAACGGCAGTATCGTCCACGGAGAAAGTACGTTTAAATCTCGTCTTACCTCGCTTAACGAAGGAAAGCCCTATATGTGTATATATATATATATATATATACATATATATATATATATATGTATATATATATACACAGATATATATATATATATATATATATATTTTTGTTTTTTAATATTTTACAGCCGTCGTCGCGCAAAAGCTGATATTTAATGTACGGTTTTTTTTTTGTTTCTGGTAAAACAAAAATCAATGAAGCACACCACGCATACTCTTCCACCCCCCTCCCCCTTGTTTCTTTTCAGCCATAGCAAACTTTTTTGGCTGATCGAACATTTTTTACCGTTCCCGAGCTTTTTTGTCCCGAGCGTTACGCACAAACGAATTTCCAAGCAACCCTTCGAGACGCGGAAATTGGAATTTCTAACCTTTTTACGCTTTCCCTTCCAATACGACCGTAGATTAAGCGGATCGAATGTTACCAAGTTTACCAACAATCGGTAAACGCGACTGAAAACCGGGGAAGTTGCGATTCAATCGAACATTCGATCACGAAAAATCCGAGCAGTCATCACGTTCACAATAAAAAACACTGTGGATAAAGAAGAAAAAGAAGAAGAAAAAGAAGAAGAAGTAGAAAAAGAAGAAGTAGAAGAAAAAGAAGAAGAAGAAACGATATTCATTCGGTGCCTCTCAGGGAAGAACGATTTTTATATGATTCGCAAAATCAATTATCGTTAAAAAGAGGCCAATGTGTTTTGGAACACTTTCTGCACGATTGCATTTCGTTTCGTTCGTTACGCCCTGTTTACATATTCTTTTTTTTTTTTATTCTTCTAACGTTTGTCGTGTGTCTCGAGAGTTTTATTGCTTCTAGAAGTTCGCGGTTGCCCATTCGACAAAGTAGTATCGAAAATATATATGTATATTATTTGCGTACAAACCATTTGATTATTATCGAATTATTTGCACATATTACAGCACGGGAGAGGTTAGAAACATAAAAAGGGGCGAGAGGGGGTATCTGAGTAATTAGACAGTGAGCCGGACGGACCATCAGATACGTCGTACTTCGATAGAAGAAGGATCGACGAGTTAAATGAATCGTCGTCGATCGATCTCGTGCCTCTATTCGTTTCGTTTCGTCGTCATCGTCGTTCGTCGTGCTCCGTATATTAGATTATATTATGTTATATCAGATGCATGACCGTATATTTCGAATATCATCGTGATTATTTTGATCTCTACAAAACAATGTTTGAATAACGTGCGGCTAGAAAAAAAACTCGAAGATTCTCGTCAAATATAATATATGCAAACAGCAACGGCATCACACAATACTTTTTTAGGCATAATCCATGTCCCTGCGTTTTCGTTGCAAAAAATTATTGAGATAATAGGTGACGCGATGAATCTGATTGATAATTGATGATAATGCGGATATATTATTCAGAATCATTTCAAAGAGAGATTCAGAATATAAGAAAGTCGAAAGTCTCGGAAGAAACGAAGAACGACGATCTCTTCCGAACGAACGAGTCGCGAGGACGCAGTCACGCGCATGCGTATACCTTGAAGCGTACTCACGAAAAGATCATCGAATGGCCCGCGACGAGAATCGTGAAATGCAATTATAATATACGTAGAAAAGGTACGAGGACATTAATATCGGACAGGCTTCTCTAAAATACTTTGACAAAGCGGACTCGACACCGATAGTGTGTGAATTATTTGTACGAATAATTTACAATGATCCTCACCCTCTTGAGCCTTCGTAGCTTAAAATAATGAACATTTGTTTTTCTTTTTATCTGTTTCCATATTTTCTCGTTATTTCTCGCATTACTTCTGTACCTAATTGCATATCTGTATTTTGCCTAATCTCATTTTCAACCTATGTGTAATGAATTTACACCGTTCCCGGCTCACGTAACATTCATAACCATCGTTTTTGTTATGTTCTCGTCGTCGTTCCTGCTACATATTTCAAATACAATCCTTCGAGCGAGCTGCGAGTTTTTTGCCACGTCCGTTTTCGACCAGCGAGAACGTTTCTAGCTTCGTTTATTATAGCGTTTCCGCCGTCGCTAACACGACACCTGTTTCCGGTAAAACACACGAGCAACAAGGTGCGTTCCTCGTTCCTTTTCCCATCGTGTTTCTTTCTATTCCATTTCAGAACGCGGTTGTAAACGTAGAAAAATAACGATTGCGCAATCCGCGTTAACACACACACGCACACATATTAGTTCATGTTTGTCCTCTGTGTTGTTGCCTCACCACCGCACGCTCGTTACGTGCTAGCCCGAGATAACTTTCGTTCGTGTAAGTACCTATATGTATAATATACCTATATGTATGCATTAATCTGTACTTTGTTCGGCAAAATGAACTGTGCATTGCCGTTATTATAGACAGACGCGTTCCAACGAATTCTCGTTTATCTCCGTGTGCATATCACTTACAACGCGTTCCTCGATTCACTTCACTATACCTACGAATTCTTATGTTGCACGAGAACGATGCGATTGAGGTTATTGACTTGTGATAAAATCGAGTGCCATGTTTACGATTATTGAAAATTTTATTCGATATATATCGAAATAATTTTACTCGATCGTAATACAATCCTATCGTGTCATCTGGAGGACAAGATTGTATTATTTATGAAACAGGCACGCGATCCTTCACGAAATTATTAAGCACGTAAACCCGTTCGAAATCGAGCTGGGAACTCGAACGATTCCTTTCTTCTATGAAGCATCGATTTTTTTTCTTTATTTTTTTTTTTTTTTTTAATTCGTTTAGAATATATATCGAAATTTTTTTTAATATTTGTATCGTGATTCATAATGAAAGAAAATGTGTGGTTATTTTGTCAATAATCGTTATTATTTTTAAACGTGCATCTTCTCGAATCACGAATGGAAATGGTACAACGTACTTTTTGGGCGTTTTTGCATTGTTTGTTCTCGTATAGAGATAAATCACGTTTGATAATTCAACAGAAACTGTGTACTAAATATTTTAAACAACGAACAGCAAAATAATCATTTGAAATCTCAACAATTTTTGTTGAAAACTTAACGTGTCATTTTGGCATCTATTATTAAACTAAGTAGAATGACACAACTTTTTCACTCAAATTTTATAATAGAGAATTAAAAATCTTAGCGAATTTTTAATTTTAAATTTTTTCTGAAATATAAATGATTTATTTACATTGAAATATTAAAGAAATTATTTTAAATTATCGTATTGCAACTAAAATGCTTCTTTAAATTTCAAATTTATCCCATTATATTAATTATTCTTATAACAAATTTTTGTAACTTTAACAATTGAGTTAAATTTTGATAGAAATATAATTTGAAAATGAGCTAAAAATAGTTGTGTCCAATTCTACATTATCAACCGAGTTAATTTTTCATTTTTCCACATTATTTAAAACATGCGGTATTTTATACTTCGTTTTACTCATTTAAACAATTAGACTACGCGTTTACTGCGAGACGGGTTTACGGGCGCGCGGTTATCGATTACAATTATTCGAATAACGTTACACTATTATGTATATTCATTTATTCCAAAGCGCATCACTACGTCGTGTAAGATTGTGTCTGTGTAAGTTTTTGCAAATGTGTAAATATCTAGCTGATGATGATTGCGAAATTTGTATTTGCCATTCCTTTTTCTTCTCTGTTCCTTTTGGCAAGAAAACTAATAATTATTTATAAATATTGAAAAAAAAACTATTTTTTACCAATAACAATGAAAACTTATTGCAAAAAAGATTTATGTAAAAATTTAAATCTGCTTTATCAAATAAATTATCACAATCGTATTTCTTTCTAATTTTTTTTAGAAACAATTTTTCGATTTCTTAAATATATCGCTGTAAAATTATCAGAGATTGTTAATATAATAATAATATATAAATCAAATGTTTACAGATCCATACAGATCATTGATATTTAAATATAGAAATAGATAAGAGGAACAGAAAAGTAAAGGGTCAGATAAAACAAAGCCGCGCATTCGGATTTTTGCGCATCGTACTGCGCAAAATTTGTTCAAGCCGAGCAAATTGTAGTAAACTACGCGTACATTTCACATTATTAGCATTCTTATTCACCATCATCATCATGATTTATAATCGTTATCTTAATCATTCTATGATCATCCTCACTATTATCGTCAGTTATGATCAGCATCTTCATCAATGTCTTCGTTTTCTCCGTCATTTTTCTCTTTTTTCTTTTTCTCAGTTAATTAAGTTCAAAAAACTTTCTCGTATTTATTATACACCACAGTACGATGACCAGAATAACAAATAAATGAACAAATGTCACCCACGAACCTCGACCGCAGCGAATCAACATTGATTTTTTTTTTATTACATTTCTATATATTTTTTTAACTTCTTTTCGTTTATGTTGTATTTGCCAGCGAGTTGGCGAGTCGCTGTCAAAATCGTGTAAAAAATCCAATATACGCGGATAGAATTTTACGAATCGGCTCTACCGATAAGTTTTCTTTTAGAGAAACGATGAGAAACGATCGCTCATTTTTCTCTCTCTCTCTTCTTTTTTTTTTCTTTTTGCAAACGCGGCAATATCAACTATCCCACCGTAGATCTTCATTTCATTGTCGGTCACGTGAAAAGATTTTTCATTTCATTGCGTCTCGAGTATGCGTGCAGCTAACGCAGCCGGCGCGGATCGTCATCGTCATCGTACGATTTCTAAAAAAAAAAAGAACGGTAAGAAGTACCGTAACGAAGTCCATCGAAGGCAGGAATACTGAGCGCGTAGCAACGTTAACCTTCGAGCCCTGATTTATTTTTAAAGGGGGGGAAGTCGACTCGAAGGTTACGTTGTACAGAGTCAAATACACTTTTCTCTATACACCGACTATCATTATATTCTTTATATGCGTTCTTTCCTGTTAAAGTTCTTGTCCTTCGATTCCTCTTCGTATGTCTATCCGTATCTTCGTTTCATAGCCAAATCTTATTTTTCAATTGCGATTCCATGAATTCCTCTTGCACCACGGAACGAGAGCCGAACCAATCCGATAACGAACACGGACGATTGATGATAACTTTATGTTTCTCTTTATCATCTTATTATTTGCGCCCCGTTTTTGACTCGTTCAGGACAAACAAACACATGTCTCGTGTATCCTAGTCCTCGCTCGTGTGTTCATCAGCTAGCGACGTGTCTTTCCCAACGATCGTAGCGTTTACAGTAGATTAAAGGCAACTCGTTGGAGGAATGTATTTTTTATTTTTTTTATTTTATTTTATTTTTTTTTTGTTTTTTTCTTTCTTTTATTTTTTATACAACTATAAGGCTGTCGATGGAGAGCGCGCGCGAGGTCCGTGAGGCCGCTGCTCCTCGCGAGCAGTATCAGCACTGCAGACGCTGCGTGAAATCGACGCGTCTGTCGGTAATTCTATAGCTGTTAATCGGCGATGCTGCAGATGGAGCGATCGTCGCACGGACGCCGCCAATTTGTGGTTCGTGGTGGCGCTTGCTACGACGGTGGCGGTGCTGGAGACATTATGGACGCCGATCAGACGTCCGCGGTTCTCGAGGTTACGCTCGGCGATCGGCTGTGGATGACAACTCTGTGGCCATTTTTCGTTACAAAACCGTCACTCTCGACTAAGACTGCGGTTTGTCTGACTCGTGGATCCGTGTCAGCGTCATCGCTTTCTTCGCTGGGTCCGCCTAGACGCTGCTGTTTGTGTTTTCTCCAAGCGTTCTGGATCAAACGCGCGCAATATTCTTCGCGCTGACGCCACAAAGTAGAAGAGACCGGTTCATAACCAGTCTCACCTGGACGCGTTTGAACCTCGATCTCTGCTGTCTCCTCGATCGGATTACCCTTACGCGCGAAGAAGTCTTTGGTGAGAGCGTCCAAGATGTCCACGCAGAACATCATATCTCCTTTGCATATAGGAATGTCCATCGATACGATCTTGTACTTGTTCGGCTTGTGTATCTGCAGTGGCGGCTCGAGCACGTCCAAGAAATCGGACAACTGATCGTATCTGATGTACTGTGTCCCGTCTGGATCAAACTGTTGCCAGATCTCGTAGTACATATCGTAATCGTCATCCGTCAAACCTTCCTGCACATCCTCGGTCGCTTGAGAGTAGTTCTCCAAGATTACGGCGATGTACATATTTATCACGATTAAAAAGCTGATCACCAAATACGAGAGAAGATAGGCAATGCCGATCGTAGACGAACCACAATTGCCCGGATATCCTATCTCGTTGTTTGGTTCCTGGCAGTCCTCTTCGTTTATTATACCGTCAAGAACACCGTCCCAACCAGCGGACGTTGACATCTGAATATATAGATTTATGAGTTTTCATGTATCTAGATAAAATTTATAGATTGTAAAAGATCTAATGTTTAATTACCTGGAATAACAATATCATCGACTGTCCAAACGTTTTAAAATTGTACACATCATCCAGTCCGCTCTTGTCTTTCACGTGCATGAAGAACGACATTCCAAAAATTGCAAAGATAAACATCACCAAAAACAGTAATAGGCAAATATTGAAGAGAGCTGGTAACGACATCGCCAAGGCGAAAAGAAGAGTTCGAATACCCTTGGCACCTTTCACGAGTCGAAGCACACGACCGACTTTTGCCACCCTTACTACACGAAGCAATGTTGGCGATACGAAGTATTTCTCAATAATATCGCTGAGGACCAGACCTAAAGGGAATATGTATACATTCATTACAACAAATTTAAGATGTTTTATAAATTTATTGCTATTAATAGAAAGTAAGAAAGGATATGTGCTGTCTAAGGTAAGGTTATGTGATCTAAGTAAATTAGGTAGTGCCATATAAATTAAAGAATATTCTAGAAAATCCATGCAAAAGATTTTTCACGCAAGATTATTTGTTCTATAGAATTTAATTCATTCATCGAAGATAAAACATATAAAAAATTATGCATTTTTTAGTTCTAATTGGTTTTCTATAATGAATGAATATTGTGTTTTTTATTTCATTTAACATTTTTATAAAAAATTTCTTTAAAAAAAAGTTTGAAAGTGTACGATGCATGATGATTTCAATATTTAAAAAGAAGATTAGATTAAAAAGATTAAAAAAAAACATGCATCACGCAATCCTAAGGATTATCATCTCTTGTTCTCTAATTGTTTCTCTATCTTTGATTATAAATGTAACATGCATTTAAATTGATCGAAAAAATCAGAAAGTTGATTAAAGCTCGATCACTCGTTACATTACGTGGTGCTGTATCAGAGACAAAAATGTATTGATATAGTAGATTTTTGTGTTAGATATTAGAAATTGAGCACACTACTAATCAATTGCTTTTTTCTAAGAAAAACTAATTGAAAAAAGATATTTTTATAATACAGACCCCCTCTTACCCGACTTTTTGACTAATGATCGTCTTTACATCAATAAACATGCGTAAAACCAATGAAATACAACATTATATCGTTATGAAAACTCGATGAATTAATTTAAATTTTCAATATATTAATATATTATTTATAAATAAATAACTATAATGTTGTTTTTGACGATTAGACACATGTTTAGAATTCCAGAGGAGACGAGAAGGAAACACATAATATGGATATCAGGATTAAACAGGATAGGATAACAGATAACATCAATGTAAGGCTACATAACGTAATGAAGTTGCTCAGTCGTTGCGGCACATGTGAAATATTAATCCTGTATGCTTATTTTTTGTTTAAAAAAGATACTAATTTTACGTGCAATAAGATTTGTACATGCTCATTTCCATCCTAATCAGAAAAAAAGAAGAGAGACAGAGAAAGAGAGAGAGAGAGAGAGAGTGTGTGTAGTAAATATGTAAGATATGTCTTGTGACTAACAGTGTAAGAAAGCTAACAGGATTCACTTTTTCATTGGCATATCAATTTCACTTGTGCCATACGACTGAACTGATCATTACATTACATTACCTAATATTGACAATATAACAACAACAAAATCAAAGAGATTCCATGGCTCCTTGAAATAGTGGTAACGTAGAGCAAAGATCTTCATGAGACACTCGCTGGTGAATATCACAATGAATATCATGTTTAGATAGTCCAGAACATCGCTGAAAGTCTGAGTTTGTTGATAATGGTCCAACGTCATTGTAAGCATGTTCAATCCGATGAACAACATAATTATCATATCGAACTTTTTGTCTGTCACTATTTCAAACACTATTGCTTGCGGTCTCCACTGGAAAAAAGGAAAAAAGATCGATATTAAAATATTGCAATTAAAAGGTAAGGAATAGAAAAAGTTGTATAAGTTGTTCACTATTTTAAATTTTTCAAATTTAAGATCAATTTCTAATTCAAATTTTTAGATCAAAGATTTGAGAAAACGAAATTAATAATGACAATATATGAAACTATATGTTATACGTACCCTTGGACGTGGAATGGCTTTAAGTGGTTTCTTGCTACCCATCTTTTTCATAGCGTTGTAATATTTCTTTTGATCTTCTGTCATGAACATCTCGAGGGAACCTCCTGCCTTTTTCTTTTGTTCGTTAAAGTTATCGATGATCACACCAATGAATAGATTAAGGGTAAAAAACGATCCGAATATAATGAAGAATACAAAATAGAAATACATGTAGATGTTCGTTTCACGAATTGGTTGTTTGTTGAGCTGCAAGTAAAAAAAAACCACAAAAATATGATAATTTTTCAAATGGAAAATCTTTAATTTTTACACACACTCACCTCCCTAGAGTCGATGGCATCGTTCATGATCTGAATCCATCCTTTGAATGTAGCCACTTGAAACAAGCATAAATAAGCTTTTCCTACGTGGTCGAAATTCATTGGAGAATTTTCCCAAGTGTAGTTCTCAGCCAAGCAGGCATTTCGATCAGGAATGATTTCATGGCTGAGTGTTGTTTTATTCGCATCTACACACTGTAAGAATGAAATGATATTGTCGATTTAATAGAAAAATATCGAAATTCTTCTGTTTTGTTTTAAAGAATTAATAGTTAGTAAAATTGCAGAGATTAAAAATAAAGATATGGTGGATGATGTAAAAAATAATATAAACGCATACCTTAAAATATTTGCCGGCAAAAAGCTGTACACCCATAATGGCGAAGATCAACCAGAAGATAAGACACACCAGTAACACGTTGAAAATGGATGGAATGGCTTGAACCAAAGCGTTGACGACTACCTGTTAGACAAAATATATTGTTAAAGTATTTAAAAAACGTTTCAATTATTTTTGTTATTCTGCCTGTCTATGTGCTTAAGTATGCGTTTCTATGCATCTCTAGGCGTTTTCTATAATCTACGCCTACGTGTATTACTGGTTCGTCATATGTGCAATTTGAATTTTGGAATTTTCTTTTGCGATAAAATAAAAAAATATATGAAATATCACGTGAAAGGAATTAGGAATGTTGTATCATTATTGCGAAATTAAATCAATTAAGATCAAGTTAATAATAATCTAAAAAAAATAAAAATTAAATATTTATGTATTTTAAGTTCATTGGTAATTCTTTTGAATCGAAATTGAAACGAAATATTTCATTCTACTTAACTTCTCTCTTCTAAATTATTATTTTTATTGAAAAAAATTTCAAACATTTGATCTTAACTAATACCAAAATTTATTTTTTATTTATTTTTTTTTATTGGTTGAAAGAAGAAAAAGTAATGAAGTAAAAAGAATTATATTTGAATGTAAAAAATACAATTTTTCTTCAAAGTATGGAAGCGAAGAAATATGAAGAACTTATAGCAATTAAATCTCTGTAAATTTTAATTCTAGTTCATTATTACAAGAATTAGAATCCCCAAAATATTTAATTAATAATAAAAAAAAAAGCATACAACATTTCTACTTAATTTCATTCGATTTTTCACAAGATCAAATCAGGAAACGGAGTCGATGAAGTATCCCGTTCGGCTCGTTTACTTCTAAATAATTTATGCGAAATGATTCAATTTTTCATTTTTTATGGAACAATAAACCGAGGTAAATCTTGCATACTTACTCCACCAATTACCACGTTCAATTTCGTACAATTACACCGCACGAACATAGAGATATGTATCAATAAAACATCGAAATCACAATTTTCCAAACAAACGGACAAAATAGAAAGTAAAAAATGAGAATAAAAAGAAAAATGGCGAACACAAGGAAGACTTTTTGCGTTCTCGAAATAAGATATATATGTATATATATATATATCGATAAAACACAAGAAATTATAAGTCTTCAAACAAATAGAAACGATTCAATTGAACAAAAAAAGAAAAAAGAAAATGGCAAACACAAGGAGTGCCTCTGCGTTCTCGAGATTCACGATTCACTTACATTTAATAGAAACGAATAGAATAAGAAAATTAAGAAGTAACAAAGTATCGATTTGCCTGATCATTGATCGATGTGACGTATGGTGCGTACTCATAACATGTGTTGTCTCAAGATCAAAATTTTACAAGTGTGCCCAGAATTTCATAATCAGAATACACGAGAAATAAAGCAGCAGCAGGTGGCGTAAGAAGCATAAGCATAGTAAAAAGATTCTTTTCCTTGTCTGATGCAATCATGTCGTGCGTAATTTTCAGCATTTTGTCAGCGGCAAGCAACGATTCCATGCAGAAATAAAGAAAAAAATTAACAGAATATCAAAGTAATATACATAATATATATGATATATAATATTCTTTTACAATGTATTATATATAATATATATTTATATACGTAGAGATAGAGATGTATGCTGAAAAATAGTAGCTATAAACTACTGTATAAAAAGGTAGGATAAGATAGTGTCAGGGCGTGGGCATGACAGTAACTCTACGCCCAGTATCTCAGCGACCTTGTATTACAGTTATGTAGAATCATATGTCTGTAATGAGATATGTAAATTATTAAATTTTCATCCGAAAATG